TATATTGTCTTTACTATACAAGGGTTTTTTGTTTATTATTTATTTACAAACTATTAATGTATAGTTAGTAATTCTTAGGGAAATATTGTTTTTCATTTTTCCGTCATAGAAAATAAAAGAAACCCTACATTGTTTTCATTTCTTTGTTTTTGGGTGGGAATCATATGGTAATATATATATATAAAGTTTTATTTGTAAGACACTTTGAAAATCGTTACATTTTCAAGTGATTATAATGAAATCCAACAGTATAATAACATATGCTCACTAGTGACTGGTTTCAAGAGGAATTTCCTGGAGTTCTAGTGCGAAACCGTGACTAGTGGAGTTCAACCGGGTCTGTTGAGATATTAACTCACTGAAGACAATGATGGATGTGACGCTCAATTTCGCGGATTAGTTGAAGTTAGACATTAACACCGTTGGATACCGGCCGGCTCAGTGATCTAGTGATTAAGCGCTCGCGCGCGAGACTAATAGATCCTGGGTTCGAATCTCGAGGGCGGGATCGTGGATACACACTGCTTAGGAGTCCCACAATAGGATGAAAAAGCCGTCCAGTGCTTACAGGTTTCCTATGGTGGTCTAGCTTCAAGTGACTCATGATCTCAACTATATAAATTAGTATAATGTATTTTGAATTGGATCTTGTTAGCTAGACGTTTCTACATCCCACTATTGACGTTCATATTAAGAAAGGAACCCAGTAGCTTTCTTTTTTAAATACCAACACGCTATTTACTCAGACCCTGAGTTTAGGTAATCATTAGTTTGTGAAATCGGTATGAATTTATTTATGTTGGCTTCTTCTGGTTATTGGTTATGTAGAAGAGTTCATCTTTACGAGGGTTTTGGACTAGTAGTAGCTTTAGTATTTGACCAGATGAAGTTGTGTGCGAAAGTTAAAACTCATATGTTCATTTCAATTTCAACAAAGAAATGGTTAGCCTTTTGAGACTGATTGTTATTGATATACTTTTTGTAAATCTGGCAAGGACAAAATTACTGTATAATATCATGGAGACTACAGTTTACACATGAATTACTGATCTTGAATATTCTAATATCAAATGTATAATGGACAATGAAATAAATTATATATATACTCTCTTATTGTTTTGGGAATTTCTGAGGGAAGTGATGGTAGATTTCAAAGTTATATCCGTAGAAATAAAACTTGAAATGAACAGTATTTATACTTTCACAGTTTTATCCGGTAATTTATAAAGATGAACTTATAAAATTGCTTTTTTACAGACCTAGAAATTTATGTTTTGACAAATAAGCTTTAAGGGAAGTGGATGAGACTATAATTTATGGACGACCTATGAGCAACGTTAAAATGACCTTGGATTGTCCATATACTTACTGGGGACAAATGAGTGTTTTATATTGGTTTAAGAAATTATTATTAAGATTTACAGTTGTACGCTAGGGTAAGAAACTAGGTTCAATGTTTTCATCGCGAACTGACATAAGTTATAATGCCAAAATGGTATTTATTCAAATGAGTGAATGAATTTGGCGCCAAAATAAAAGATCTGCTATCTTAGGTCTGATTGGTTCGTCTATAAATTTCAGTCTCTCCCACAACATAAAGAATGGTATTGACAACTATAAAACAAAAAATTTATTCGTCTAATGAAACTTCAAATGTGGTCAAGCTGAGAAAAGTATTCAAAGACTTAATGCAACTCTAAATAGCATGTTTCCCGCATTATAGTATATACCAGTATGCACAACACGATACCCAGTAAGGTGTATAAAAGTAGACAAATACTCATATAATGTCATCACCTGAATTACCAACTTATACGTATGTACGGAAGCAGTTACCTTGAGCGAACGGATATCAATGTCAACAACTACGCTCTTTATTTAAAATAAACCTATGAACCTTTATATAAGCGAGGAAATCAGTAATCACAGGTTAATTGTAGACCGCCAGTTAGACACGAAAAAAGAGATGTATATGATCTACATAATCAAACTAACTATTAAATAGTACAACTATATACTACTAGGATTAACATATGCTATAAGCAGTTAGGAATTTAAAACTTGACCTTTGTATCTAAAATTAATCTACGGTTAACATTCAACTACCTTGGGAACAGAAAAAAAACAATGTTAACCATTTGATTTTCATTGCTCATTAAGTCATGATTACTATTCAGTGATTTCAAATCAATTTTCTGTTTTAGCTTCTCTATATTCTGAATGAATCCTTTTCTATATTACGTAATATTAATGTAAAATTATCACTGTAATAATTTATTCAAATACTCTTTAAAATATCTATTACAATTTACCCCTCTTAACAATTTTAGTGATGACAACTCACTTGTTTTTAAAAAAAAACTCCGTATTATCATTTTAAACCAACACAACTTATTAGGAAACATGAAGAGTAATAAATTCATCATATACTTGTTTCGTTTAAATTCATATGGGTAGCTGAGTGCAAGAATTAATGATTATGAGGTTAAACCATTGTAAAGAGGCTGCAAATGTGTTTATGACAATGTACTTATCAGGTCATCTAGAACTTTCATCAAGAATACAGTGTCAAAATAAATAGTTTATTTTTTTCATTTGTAAGTATTGGAATTTATAAATACAAATATATCATATGTGACCGATTTATCTCTTTGATTATTTCTTATCCACTCACTCTCTCAAACTGAGAGCGATCATCAACTGAGGTACGATAGAATGATACTAAAATCTAGGTCAAATCAATTCAGATCAGTATCCCCGTCTCAAAAGAATTATTATCGTTTTCATCAGAGAACACGTTTCATAATACAGATAATTATTATTAGAGTTAACAGAACTAAATCAGCTTATTAGTTTTATTACTGATAATCAATAAACTGATATCTTATGACGTTATTCAAATTTCAAAAACAACTGATGATACTATACTACCACTGAAAAGTAGATAGGGAATGGACAGTTGTTTCATCTTAGGATGAGCCTCGTGAGCTGTATACATATATAAGTATATAAGCTTGTCAGTTGCCATCTTGAAAACACGAAGAAATAAAATGACCACATTTTAGTAACATGATACACTATAGTCATAGTTATCATTTACATGGTTTAATAAGAATAGTTTTTAGCCTGTTCCGCAGCATCGCTATAGGTCAGTAGAGTTAACTGGTGGTTGAGCACACAAAATATATATCGCAATATAGTGATTAGAGGCAGTTGAATTGATATGTTAAGAATCCCCGTATTACTCCAATTTAAGTCAGATAGAACCCAATGAGCACAACCGAATATATTATATTTGTAAGTCAAATTACAAAGGAATGACCAATTAGTACAAATAATAAACCCAAGCACCGCAGTTAATAAAGATTTACTACTTTGTTAATAGATGTGCCATTTTTACCTAGATCCATATTCATTCGATGGTACAAAAATACGTATGTAATAAATGCTTCGTAGACGTCCATGACCAAATTATATACATGATATACCAAATAGGTTTAATGGCTACAAAATAGAACAGAATAAACGATCACCGAGTGTACTTGCCTTCTCAAGCCACCACAAGTTACAGAAGATAGCGAAAGCTAAGAGAGGTTCCTGAATTCGTATTAGGATTTTATGGTTTGTGTTAGATAGATTATAGTGAATGGTCTTCCAAAAAAAACAATTTCAATAGTCTATTATTTTAAATAAACTTCAACTCATACTATCCCACACAGGTTCCGTGTAAACCATAAACGTTCACTCTATCATAATAATCTAGTCTACAATTTATATGTATTCTAGAAATAAACTTTTATGTACAATTTACATAAGGTGATAGGCTTTTCAAAACGTGAACGGGTATTCTTCAGTCGTTGACGACATCGTACCCGTACTGCAAATCTCGAAATCCTTTAAGGTTTCATGAAGGATATTATTATTACTACCATTATTATTATTATTAGAGTGCCTTTCAAGGAGGGAAGAATTAGTTTTCGTGATTTTCGTTTATCTACAATTTTAATTTGTTACTAAGCCGTAGTTCATCAGGTACTGTGTTCTCTAAAATGATTAGTTTTTAGTGACATGAAGGGACACGATACTGTCATTATCTCAAACTCCTTGATTTCATAATAATGTCGTTCATTTCCATTCATAACATAAAAAAGTCAATAATTATTTTATAAACTGAACCGTGTAGTTTATTATTTTTGTTACGATAACTTCACTCAATAATACTCATTATGCTAAATAAAGCGATTTCTAAAACAATTAGTCCCTTTGATAAATTTTGATAATGATATTAGAAGACGAAGATTATCTCCTCTTACTCCGTTTCCTGTCTAGTTGACCTTTTATTTTTATATATAAATGCTCTTAACAAATATATGTGTGACCAGATTGTTCGAAATGTATTGCGCTAATATATCACATAGTTCTGATAATCTTCGTTTTCTAATATCATTATCGAAAGCGATTTCTGCCATTAACTGGTACAGTGATATTTTCAACCAAATACTATAATCTGAAGATCTGACAAATGGCAACATTTTCAACCAAACAGTATAGTATATTTCGAATATGTCTGAAACCTTTGCATATCCTAATTCTTTGCATCACTAATGCCATTCAATTTAAATTGTTTATCTTATTGGTTGAAAAAACCTAACCAGTTTTCATTGGAAAATGATAACCTTGGATTAATACTTTAAACTAGGGCAGATAGATTACCTTAATTGTCCTCTGCTCTAATCATCCCCCAGTGAGTCATTCTTCACGTGGCCTAGGGTGATTATGAGAAAGTGGATAGACATTGTCTGCATACGATCACTAGTTAGACGACTATAATCAATAGACGTTTAAAATCAATGATTTTTTCATCGAATCAAATACGAAAACGGTTTATTTATAATTGACCAATAGAAAGCTTTAAAAAAAACCCTACCTGTCCAAGTGTAACCATTTATAATCAAGCAATAATTCATACATTCTCATAACATAAGTTAAGACAACGGAGGATGACCTCTGGAGCGGCGCAATGTGATTGCGTTTTCGACTTTTATTCAAATAATATTGCAAGCCAAATAAATCAATGTAACCCGGATTATTCTTGTAATATCAATCATCATAGAGATGATAACACATGTAATTGGAATATTGACTATCCTAAGAAGTTCTCAAGTTGGCATTATTCAAGAAATTATCATGAAACATCATTCCCTAGGTATGGATTTAGAGTATAGTTTTTCTTGTCAAAGTTACACGAAAAATTCATGTTTTATATTTTTAATTCATGTATCCTGATGATCCTTTGTTTAAAAAGAAATCAATTTCTTAGAGCAACTTATGTTTCAATTATTTTTAATTGTAAAATGTAGAGTGTAATCGAATTTCGAGCACGATCATGGCCACCAGATGTCCTGGTACGGCGGAGGATGGGGAGAGTCAGGTCTCCCTATCGAAATTCTCTCACATGACCACTCCTACACAGCTACCGACAGGAAAGTCCTACTAAATACCTTCTCGCTGTTGAGGTGTTGCTTACAAAATTGAGAAGACGGAATTTGAATGTCCTGCTTATTAACCGGGTTGGTGGATATGGAGAACCCACCTAAGCGAGTTGTAAAATCCTGATTCTAAACCTATGGTGCGCATGGGCTCTAGGGTCTTGAAAGAACAAATGGCGTATGAACTTACTGTTAGTCATCGGTTACCATGGGACGGCATCTGGTGTTGCTCTGCTGCCTTGTAGATTTGACTCCTGGGTCACAGGCTTAATGAGTGGCACCTTAGAAAACTACGTACTTCGGTTGTGGCACCCAAGCAGTATTCCAACCCTCCTTGTACTCATGTTTTTGTCTAAGTAATAAATTGTATATTTATATGCATAAATAATTAAATTAAGGAGTTACTCTTTTTTGAAACCTTGTCAAATGAGTATCGAAGTTATTTCCACATGTAGGATATAACATTTGTAACTTCTGACTTACTAAGAATTTATTAACTTAATACAGCATTTCTAATGTCTAACTGTTTTGTACTTATTCGAATGCTTATTACACGATAAGGAATGATATCATTTATACAGTCATGAATGTGATAAAGGATTGCAAATGAAGACTCAGAAACTATTCATCTGTAATTATTTTTACTGTAGTTAATTCATTTTAGACGATATTTTTCCCTTGTTGAAAGCACATTAGAAAATGAAAGTAAAACTGGTAATTTGTAGAGATTATTAGACAACATACCTACATTCAGGGTATTAAAATTGTTAATTCTGAACAGGGCTGAAAAAGTTATCGTCGACTCTGGTATCGTCTTTCTATTAAACTTTTTAAAATGAAATATTAGCTGGACTTCTTTTAAATTCTTGATTTTGTTTACCTGTGTACTCGTACGATATTAAAAGGGTATAAATTAACCTTGCTCCTGTTTGCGTCGCTTAAGGTTTTATGTATAATATTTCATCTTCATTGCAGAGTACTGTCATTTCCTGTTCTTTACAAATATTCAGCAGTAGAGATAAACATGACTATTACTTGATCATGTCAACCTAACCTAAACTGTTTTTCGAAACCGCAGAAATTTTTTTTTACTGAAAACATACACTTTCATTTTGGTTTTAAGTCTTAATGAGCGAATAACGTTTAATAAGCAAATTTTCTGAAATGTAAACCGAAAATGAGTTGTTGTTTTCAAAATATTTTAGTTCTAAAGATTCTGGAATCAAGTCAAATACTATGCGCTCGACTTCCATGAGTACAGAGCATTTAAATGAAGATTTGGTAGTCCCAAATGGATTATATCAAAAGCCCATTGTATCAACTAATTCTTGTTCAGATGCAGATTTCCTTTGTTCTTTGGAAATCGATCGACGTCAGGATCATGAGATTACGGAATGTAACAAATGTATAAAATATCAGGCATATCACCACGAAAATTTACGTACGTCTTCCGGACATACACAATCTAACATCAGCTCAGATTCCCACCCATTGGTTATTTCTAACCCCAGCGCTGTTGCAGAAACTTACGATTTATCTGATCATAGTCGTGATTCGTCTTGTCCTGACGATCATTTCGATCGTATGGTGCCTTCTCGAATTGAGTTACCTAACATTTGCTATGAGTTAGGAGAGGATGGACACACTAAGGCAGTAGAGGAAATTGAAAGCTACTATGGAGGACGTTTGAGAACCCAACGCGCTGCAAGGATTATACAAAATGCCTATAGAGACTATCGTTTGAGAGCGGAATACGCACGATTGAAGCTAGAAAAAGGAATCGGTCGTATACGAGAAAGGAACTCAAGCAAAATCGTCCAAAACAAAGCTAATTCTGATCACATTCTAAACAAAGGTGACTGTGCGATTTCTGAACCTACAGATGACGTTGATGATTTGCTAATCGAGGGAGCATATGTTGACTGGTCACCAGAAGCAGGTGTTAGTCAGACTGAGTTACCAAATCCAATTAACAATGAAACACATTTGATTGACTGTATTTATCCTAAAACTCATCCTCATATTTCACAGTCTTGCACAATTCCTCATACTGATAGTTTACCGACAATTTCTGATTCTCCTAGTGTTCCCAGTTATTTGTCTCCTGCTAATGCAAAGTCTAGTATCAATAGTCAAAATTTAAGGATGTGTAATCCACAATTGATGCATTTTTCAGTTCCAAACTCATCTCTAAATTACAATAATGATCTCATTCAGATACCTAGTGAATATTTCTGCAGTCCATCTACTAAACAGTTAACAGTATTTAATAGTCCTCATCCACAATGGGTCAGTTCTCTTCCTAATCATTTTGATCTCTGTTCGAAGACTCAGGTTACTACTACCTGCGAACATTGTTCTCGTACTCGTCAACCTAATCTAACTCAACATTTTGGTGTTGAGTGTATTCCGAAATTCGGTGATATATCTCCGGGTGTAGCAGGTTCATCTGTACATAGAGTTCGTTACAAAGAGTGCTGTTTACCATCCAGTATTCCGAACCGTTCAAGCTTTCGTAACAGTTGTTGTCCTTATTGTGTGACTGTTCCAAATTTGAAGGTTACCTCTACTGCAAACAAACCACCTGCTTTGGTTTGTATGCCTGCATCTAGAGCTATCATACCACCTCAACTTTGTAATAATAGTGGATGTCCAGGAATTCCTTTCCCTATGGGAAAAGTATACAAAACACCAACAGTTATTTCATCCTGTGTCCCTTTGAACAATGAATTACTGCAGTTGCACACGACGCAGTTAATAAATAATGTTCCACATGTTCCCTTACACCATCTGGGGTCTCTTAATATTAATAAGAATGATTCTTCTCAAAGACAACATCCAACACATGTGTCTTGCGGAGGCAATTGTTATCATATCCCTAATTCGTGTCAGTTACACATGCATCCTTCATATCTTCCACATAACTTACCAAGTCAGACTCTTCATCCATCTATTGTAACTCCATTTTCTCATAGAAATCCCTGTATAAACCGACTACCCAATTCTCATGAGAAACGTAGAAAACGAACTTATCGTATTGGTTTAAACATATTCAACAAGTAAGAAATTTCCAGTTATATCTGTTATATTTTATTAAAAATTTTGATACTGTTCTTTTAGAATGTATTTAGTTTCCGATTATTCATGTATTCACGAACATCAGTTTTTAAGTTTTGAGAAATATGTGGGGTCGTTAAAATAGTGAAACGCCTTGGCATGTTATAAAATGTATTCTGTAGACATTTCGAATTATTCTGCTTGAATGTTGGGATTACAGTGCTCCCAGTTTCCGGTATGATTTCATCAATAAATAGATTATTTCCACCCTCGTACTAGGTATTATGTTGATTGTGACACGTGATCTATTTATTGTGGTATAACCTTTAAGGATGATGTAAATTTGTACTAGAATCTATGTTGATTATGGCTAACGAAATATTTAGTGGTTTGTGCTGCTTATACTACTTTCTGCTCCATCTATCAGAACTCTAATACATTTTATATCGGTTGTTGCAGATTAGATTTGTTTTAGTAGCTCACATATTTATTCGTCAATAATACATGTCGTGTAACAATAGCTACGTTTTTCTGCACCAATATATATTTCCAATTTCACTCTCTTGGTCTGATTCTCACTTCATACTTGTTTATCGATACAGGTGTTACAGTTTATTTTAACAGTAGACATTTATATGCACCGGTTCAAGTTGCCACACCTTATCAACACTGAAAGATGCCAAATTGATGTAGGTAGTCATCGTATTAGTAGTTATAGAAAATATTAGGGATAGACCAGATTTGAGAAAATATGAATTCGTGAAGCGAAAAAGTCTTCAGATATTTAAGAAGAGACAGTGTGAATGCACCCGCACTGTTGCGAACGATTTGGAGCCATATTTTCTAAAGTCACTAACCACTGGTTACAATGATCGCACCGACCCCAACCAGATGGTTTGGACTCAACGTGTTTCTTGATACTCATCTATAGTTATGTACAACTAAACATCATTCTCCAGATCCATTTCGTGTGACAATGTAACAATTTTTTAATTATGTCGTTTCAGTCAGATCACTATCATGACTCGTTTGATTATTATCAAGCCTTAACAAATTGTGTCATATTGGTTTACTTTGTTTATCTTGTTACACTCGAGGGTAGGGACAGTCCACTCCATCTCGAAACGCTCTCACATGGCCACGCGTATACAGCCACTGCCAGGGTAGTCCTACTCACTGCCTTCTCGAGGCGGGGGTGTTTACGAAATTGAGAGGACGAAAAGCGAATGTCCTGTGCTTTAACCGGGTTGGTGGACACGGAGAGTCTACCTAGGGGAGTTGGAGGACCCCAATCCCATTTAACTACATCCACTTACGTTGCTCCATAGCCTTGTGGATCAGACTCTTAGGTCGAAGGTTACGGGTGTGGCTCCCTAAGAAAACCACCTGCTTTGGTCTGGGAACCCTGGAACTTTCACAGCCCACACACAAATCATGTGACTTGTGTGGCGCATATGTACCCCTTCATACTAATATTTATGTGTTCATATAAAAAAATGAGTATTTAAATAGATGCAAGTACCTAGTTAGTATAAACTAATAAAATTTTATTTACAATATAGGTCACCTGTAAAAGGGATTGATTTTCTAATTAAGAATGGATTTTTGGAGAATTCTCCACAGTTGATTGCTCGTTTTCTGTTAACCCGTAAAGGTTTAAGTCGGGTTGCCATAGGTGAATATCTTGGGAATACAAAGAATGAAATAGCCAAGTTGACAACGCGGTAAGTTCAATTTATTGAGCGAATTGTTTTTTAGTTTTCTTATGCATATTTTTTCGTATTTTACGAAAATACTGTATGTCCGGTTTCTACCAGGGGTTTATTTCCAGTTTTTGTACAATATTATACATCTTATGGCTGCTTTGAACTAAGTCTCTGTTATAGATATTACTAATTTTCTACTTTTCCCGGAAGTTAAAGTAAATCAGGCAAATTATAGTAAATCTATAACTCGAAAAAAATAGTATGGTGTTGCTAGCACAGTTGCGTGTGACAGTTAATATTTCATAATAAGAATAATTTCTTTTATCTGTAATCGGCAAAATGGTGAGTGCAGTACATATCAACAATGTAGGCGTTGTCAGCTGTTTATAAATTTGGTTTTTAGTATTTCTAAAACTTTCTTCTAGGGACGACCAACATGCTGCATATGTAGGTAGGTAATAAGGCCAATCAATATTCTTATATTTAAACATGAAAGTTTGTCACTTTTAGCCATATTAAGAGATAAACATTTAACAGTTGCATTTCTATACAGAAAAACGACAAGTTATTCGTTTACTATAAACACAAACTGTTATTTTGTCGCTGCGAACTTGGGAATTTTCGAACTATCGATTTTTTTGTTTAAACGAAATGGGCGTATTAGAGTTAGATAAGTTATTTTAACAGACAAAGGTATGGAGATGTGATTGTTCTTGGGATTACAAATGAATATAACTTATTGGTGTACTAATTAGTCAAAACTTGAATAACTGCCTTTTTGTTGTGGCAAGTATAAAAAAAATTTGTTTGTCATTCAACAAAGTCCCTCCTTAGGAGAAATGTATACAGGACCGATAAGTTTTTTTTCTTCATTTTATTGAGAAAAGAATCTTAGATATATTTCACTTTGTTTTTGGTGTGGGTTTGATCGAAACCAAACAATATTATGGTTTGTATTTTGTTGTCATAAATAGGGTATGTTGCCGTAATCTCTAAAGCATTTATCAAGTACAGGCTTATACACACTTGATTTTGATCTGGACGATCTTTTTGCAAGGAATATTGATTGCTATTGGGTTACTTAGACTAAAATAGATGTAACAGCGTACTAACCTGCTAACTGTTTATTGAAAGCCAAATTTCTTAACCATCCCTAACGTTTGTCGTAGTGATTTAACTTATTTTAGATAGTGCGAGATTTGACCTTTTCAATATATCCGCAATTCATAGCTGAAATCACTAAGTATTAGATATCAGTATATCTCCTTATCAATTTTATTGATAGTCTAAGTGTAAGTTCGTCATTCATGTATTTGATTTGTTTCAATGTTTGATTCTCAATAAACTCTATTAAAATAAAATTAAACAATATACTAGTAAACAAATATTTTTTGTCAGTATGGGAATTTGTAGAGACTGTAGTATTTCAACAGTTGAATCTACGAGTCAATTTAAGCTAAACTATCATTGAAAACCTGGAAGCACTGGACGGTCATTTTGTCCTAGTATGAAGCTACTCAGCATTGCGCATTCACGACCCTGTAAGCGGGACTCAAACCCAGAACTCCCGTGCTCACGCGCTTAAATTGACTAGTGATTTCCAACTGTTAAAATAACATTCCTGTAGCTTTGTTTAGTTCATGTAGACTACTTCAAATGTTGCTGAAATGTTGTACTTAACTCTATTACAAAACATTTTGTGCATAATTATGTTGTAATACCTTATTGTGAAATCTAATTTAGATGTCATAAAACACCCCATGAACTTTACATTTTTTTGCTTAAGGTCATAGTTACAGCACACTAGACGGTTATATTTAAATATCTCAAACCTATTCAATATTGATGATTCATACACATGGTTTTATTAAAGTAATGATGGTGTATTGTTGTAGGCACATTGTTCAAACTAACGAAATAAAAAGATCGATAGATTTCTTTACCAACAGTGTTTTCACATTTATCTTATACACTAAATTCACTACATCTAGCCTCAGTTAAACAGACTTTATAATTTATTACTTTTTCATTCATTCTGATGTAAATAATGGTAATAATAACATAGATATTTATTTATTGGAACACATAAACATTAATACAAAGAGGTACTAAAGATATATACGCCCCAGTTCATTTGATTTTTGTGAGGGCTGGGATACTGTCCGGACGCCCAAACAAATGCAGGTGGTATTCTTAGAGGGCCACACCCCGAAATAATAATAAAATCTCTATTCTGGTATTAATCAAAGATACCTTGCTCCCAAATGCCGTGGTACGGCTGAGAGTGGGGAGAGTCCGCTCTCCCTCCGAAAATGCTCTCACATGGCCACGCGTATATAGCTTCTGCCAGGAAAGTCCTACTCACTGCCTTCTCGTAACGGGGGTGTTGTTTACGAAATTGAGAGGAAGAAAAACGAATGTCCGGCGCTTCAACCGGGCTGGTGAACACGGTGAGTCCACCTATGGGAGTTGAAAAACTCTGATTCCGAACCAATGGTGCACATGGGATCCAGTATCCTGAAGGAACAAATGGCGTATGAACCAATCGTTGGTCACCGGCTTCCATGGAACTGCATCTCTTGACGTTGCTCCACTGTCTCGTGGATCAGACCTTCAGATCGAAGGCTCCGTGTGTGACCCTCTAAGAAAACCACCTGCTTCTGTTTGGGCATCCGGGCAGTATCACAGCCGTCACACATATCAAATGAGATCTGTGTGACGCATATGTATTTGATGCCTCCTTGTACCAATATCTATGTGTTAAAATAGATAAATAAATCAAGAAATAATATTTTGCTGAAAACAACTGTACATTCTTCATATAACATTTATAAAATATATTCATGCTTGTTGAAAGCTGTGGTAAAAGTAACATTGGTTAGTGTCAACGTTCGTGGTTTGTGATATTAGTATGTGGGATTTTTGGCGATTTTATAGTTTTCGCAGTTTAAATTACGAACTGATATTAACTAAAGCAACGTTAGAAACCTTGAATGACTGGATCGGGTACTTATGTGCCCCATGCTAGGATGAAATGGGTTTCCAGCCCTTCCAAGGTTTCAGTGGTTGTCTGTAATATACAGAAACTACCAAGTTTAATGATTATGGTTTATACCAACTAATAAGCTTATATACATACTCGGACTTCTTTGAATTTAATAGTTTGAAATCCATATATCTTAATGATTTGTGATAAAGCTAGTTATCTACCGTTATGGTTTTGGTACATGTTTAGAATTTTCTAAGAAATTTGGGCAATTATCTACTTTTCTCTATATTTGATTAACTCACCACTTTACAGTTTGTTGTTGTGTTTAAGCGTTCACTTTATTTTGGAGACTTTTGTTTATATTTATTGTGGATTTTTGTATTTTCAACTTTTTTTCAAACTAATCTTGACATTTAATAACTTGTGACTGTAATGAATAAATGGCAAGATTTTTTTTGTCTAGGCATAGGTACATAATCGCAGACTAAATTATTTTATATCTTGCAATTTCGTCTGTAGTCGTTGTAATCTACCGGTTTAATCGATTAACTTATAGCTTTTAGATCGTAATCTTAAACCCTATTCTAACTACTCCGTTTTGACCATTTGTAATGATTACATAATCTTTGTTATTCTAAGTAAATTGCAAGTTGCTGAACTTGATGACTGTAATGTCATGGGATTAAATTTTTTATTGATTGCGAACATCTAAAAGGCGATGTTTTCCACTGAATTAGCTTTATTTCACCGGTTGGTTACAGTTCGCTTAATATTAAACTAATATTTGTTCCGATTTAATTTTGTCTCATTTTGAACTTTGTCTGCAGAAATTGGACAATCTGGTTCAGGGTTAGTAATCAGACTAGTAACTAGTCTATAAAAAGATAATTTCTCAAGAGCCTAATACTTTTGAAAACTAGTCTACATAAAGAAAGAAATATCTTTATCAAGAGACGTTTGTTTGTTGTCAGAAATTTGTGTCACTCGAGATCAGTATAAATGCAGACTTCATAATAAACAAATACATATGGAGTAGGCCAGTATGTTATGTTAGTTAGTAATCAGCCATAACCAATAGATTTCTGTCTCTCGAAGCTATCACATTTGAAACTATATATAACTTATTGTGCTACAATTCACATACTAAATGTATGTTTAGTTCTATTTATAGAATTATTCATTTAGCTACATACCATTTAGATAAACTTCATAAACCACCACACGCATCTTTTCTACATAATACTTTAAATCTTGTAGATAATTTAGTGTATACATACTTAAAAAGCTCAATGTTTCAATATTTAATTATATCATTTATCATTTTACTTTTTGCTGACAAAATACTTTTAGACAATTTATACGAGAATTAAAGTTTCGGGACAAAGAAGTTGATGAAGCATTGCGTATATTGTTGGGATGTTTTCGTACACCAGTAAGTTGTTCTATAATCTTTATAAACTTTATCATTTTGACATAGTTTCCAGTACAAAGTTTAAGGTGCCATTGGTTTCGAAGTTGGTAGTTTTGATAAAATACTCTTAGAATGATTTTTAAATTTTGACATTTCATCCAGAAACAACAAACCATGTATATGATACTTTTGATGTTTGTAATATATCTGACGTAAACAAGAAATCGTATTGTTTTTCTAACGACAAGTATAATGTTTAAAAACCCGTTTCTTATGTAGTTTATAGGAAATTGATTGCGGGGATCTTCTTAGCATAGTTGGATTGTGTTAAAATCACTGAGGTTACAGTTCTGTAGTCAAAGCTAAGAATTCTTGTTCTCAATCATTTGGAAGCGTTTTTAGAAAACAGCTGTTGGATAATCTACAGTATTCCTTGCATAATCCATCTTTCAATGATTTTGGTGTTTAGTTTTTTTTCGTCAAGCGTGGTGATTTCGCTCTAAATCTGTTAGAGTGACGTATGTTTAGTTTCCGGACAATCGATTTTTTAGTTTGAATTTATTAATCTAACCCCGTATCCAACCAATGCAAACTGATAGACAATACCAGAATGTGTTATTTTTCTACTGTATATTATTGTTAACTCTGTCTTATATACTGGTTACACTTATTAGGCATGGGAAATCAGTGAATTCATATATCTTATAGTTGTATAATTCGTCGTTTTTTTATTTCATTGTGCTTTCCTTTTCGAGACCCGTTGGATTTTTCAATACCACTGATAATATTACATTTTCCTTGGTTTACCTCTAGTGAATAGGCCTTTATTGAATAACAAATTTAGGATATAATGTCATACTTTGTATGCATATATACTTTCCTCTTTTTGTTTTGTGTTCACATACATGACAAAACTTTACGTCATGATCAGCTTTGACAGTTTGCGTAGCTCTTCAAAATCTCAGTTTATAAATAGCACATTTTTTCTTATAATTATGGTGATATGGACAAACTAACAGGATGATAAATGCTGAATTCTGAGTAGTTTATTGTTTTGTACTGAATATTTGCTTATTTTGCGAGTAGTTCTAAAACAAAGCAGGACAAAACAACCGATGTTCAAAGATTCGTTTTCTTGGTACTGAAGATATCTTTCACAATTTTTAGAAAAACTACTATCTACTTATAAGTAGTCAGATGCAATATATAGTTTTATTTTAGTTCAATAAACAAAATTGACTAGTAGTTTTCCATACTATTTTCAGGGTGAATCACAGAAAATTGTTCACCTATTGAATGAATTTCAATCAGCTTATGTAGAACAGAATGCATCTCTTGTGAAGTCACAATTTAGGAATTCCGATACTGTTATGATATTAGCATATGCAATTGTAATGTTACATACAGATATGTATAGTCCAAATGTTCGACCACAATCAAAGATGACAAAAGAAGAGTTTGTAAGAAATTTGCGCGGTGTTGACTCTGGTGAGTAAAATGACTGTTTATCCCGAAAAATTTATTTCTTTTTTACCAACAAATTCCTGTTTTTATTGTCTGGGATCATATCTTTGTATTAATAAAGTGATCCAATTGACAATATACAGTTGTTTTTTAATCTACTAATTTTACATGCCGTTAAGATTCTCAAGTAACTTGTTACAGCTCTGTTGTGCTAAATTTTTTCGCTTATATTGTCTACATTTTCTATGATAATTTACACGTGACTTTGCTTATATGGTTTGGTGTATTCGTAGGTTTGTTAAATCTGTTAAGACAAAACATTCATTTTCATGTTTAAAATGTATAATCACTGTAGTACCAAGCCATGGATTTGTATTTATATGAGTGTTCCATGTGATTCAACATACCATTAAATATATAAAAGTCAATAGATTAATATAATAAACTACGTTAGTTTTAATATGGAATTGTTGACTGAAAAATATACGGTGAAAAGATTGAGTTTCATTTACAATAATTCATTACTATTTAAAAGTTAGCATTTTCTTCTGGTTCGTTAAACCTGATAGTCAGGTACCGTGAACTTCTTCTTATGGAGAACTCACCAAAGTTGAGAATCTAAAAGTGTTTGTCTCTGTTATCCAGTATTCACATTTTTATATTTAATTTCGTCACAACTTATCTCTTAGAATTAAGTTTTTCTTCACATAGATTTTTAGGGGTTGACCTCCTGGGATATTCACTTATCGACTTAGAATGTGCAAATAGTCTTATTCGATGATGATGTTATCATAATTGAGAATCTTCTGACTCAGTCGATCGACCATTTAATCATGTACATGATGTGTTTGCCTCCTTTAAGTGGTAAATTGTTGCTTCGAAACTGGTCTACATTATCGCTTAGATTGATCATAGAAAATGAAGCATTTGAGGTTCTTGATTACTCCATTTATCTCGAAAGTTTCATCAACCTTCCCGGATCGATGTCTAGCGAAATATCAACACAGATTCAAAGGCTCGATTAACTTCCTCGAACTTGTAACACTTGTAGACGTAGGCGTGATGTTCATTTCCCAATCAGACCTCCAGTAAATTGTATATCAATCCACTTTGTATCTCGTTATGGCTGTAAAATGTGGTTTATAAACGTAAAAGATATGCATTGGTTGCAGAATTTCGATCTCTCAAGCATTGTTCGAAATTTGAAACATAAGATTCTAAGCAAAGATAGCGAATTCTTCGCTGTTGTTGAGACTCATTCTATTGAGTTGGTTTGGTATATGTTACTTGTTCACAAACCAGAAAGTGACGTCAATTTGTTAAGTCGTTAATTATTGAACATATTAGTTGATGCAGACTATCTTATTAGAGTTTGCGCTATCAGTGTTTGCAGACGTTGGTAGGATCGGTCACAATAACACATACATTCACTCTGTAAATACTGTAGATTAATGTATTTGGTACATATCTTTTTATTCTGGAAATATGTGCTGAGCGTTTAACCTTCCTCATTGTCATTATTATCACATCGTCTCGACTCTTTTGATGTTCATCATGTTAATTTGCTATCGTTGTGGCAATCTGACAAGTAAACTTGGGTTAACTCACATTAGTGTTAGGCCTTGTTATTTATTTATTAGGACTGACTGGCAAATCAGTTTGTACATACTGATGCAGTAACCAGTCAGTTTGCAAAATATACAATTTTTTTAAATATTTGGTGTAGGAAATAAATAAATGTAATCGTAAATACAATCCAGCGGCTCATCTGTGCTGATGACAGTTCGTCATTCTGTTCTTATACGCAATATTTTGTATTTTGTTATATTTTAAGGTGAAGATTTAGATCGAGATTTTCTGCTTGGTATTTACGACCGAATCAAATCCCAAGAAATGTCTGTACAATCAGACCATACAGATCAAGTTCGTAAAATACAAAAACATCTAACAGGTCCTCAAAAGCCCCTTAATCTATCAGTCCCTCAAAGGAGATTGGTTTGTTACTGTCGACTTTATGAGGTTAGTTGCTTTCGTTGTTGCAGCTACTATTCATAACCTTATCTAATTTGGTTTAATGAATAAATTGAGAAATTGCTTTTAATATATTTAAAATGATCGGTTACACTTCGTAAGAAATTTTTATGTGCATTGAGAATTTGGCTATCATTTCTGTTAATTATGAAAGCCGTTTATCATTTACAAGCTGCAATTACTCCCATATATATGTCATAAAACAGTCTTGTTTCTTAACTGTAGCATAACTGAAGGTTTCTAATAACAGGGAGTGAGGAGTACAGTGGAATAAATAATTTATAAATTTGTTCATCTAACATATTTCAAAGCATAACCTTGTTATCAACCTAATCAGGTTTATCACCACTTGTATCCGAAAAACACTGGATTATGGGTAACTTCTGGGAATTATCTATAGACTGTTATTATGTATATCTTCTTCAGTCAGTCAGTCTGCTACAACGTAGGACCAGACACATATATGTATCGATCCAAGCTGCTGCACCTCATTAGCACAACAAGATGAACAGCAGATTCATAGAAGTAGTTAATTCAGTGGTGGTAATATATAAAAAAGACTGCATATAAGGATATAGTAGAGGAAGAAAGAATTAGTTCGTATAAAGAAATTTATGAAGTGATTTTAATCTCTTAGTTTAAGGGAAGACAGAGAGTGTATACACCGACGCCATTGTGATCGATTCCGAGCCATGTCACCAAGAGTCTCCAACCATTGGTTACGACAGTAACGCGGACCCCAACCAAGTAGTCTGCATCTACCAACATGGCTCAGACTAGAAGTTAGTGACTTCAAGCACTGATGCGACGTTTTGGTTTGGCCGCCCCTAACTTTGTTCCAACCGTACCCAATACTAGTCAGCATTGCACGTCGTGGTAATCGGTGGTTGGGCATACGTTACAAGTGGCCCAACCATCTTAGTCGATGAAGATTCACAACCTCATCAACTGATTCACCATCATTCCCTAATACCCTGCCTCTAACCCCACTATTACTTACCCTGTGATCCCAGCAGATGCGAGTAATATTCCTAAGACATCTGTAACTTACGAGTACCTTTCACTCTTAATGACCACGTTTCGCAGCCGTTAAGTAGAACAGAATGTGAACTGCCGCGCAGTATGCTCGCCTTCGTCATAGGTGACGTAAGTTGGCAAAAGCCAAACGAACTTTTCGAATCCGTGCTGAGATTTCGTCAGACACCAACCCATTACTGCTGATCAGACTTCTAAGATAAGTGAAGTTGTCAACTCGTTCGACTGCTTCATTCCCTATCCTTAGATCAGGTGTTAATGTAGACTAGTCCTGAAGCAACAACTCGCATTTAGAGGGAGAGAATCGCATCGCAAACATTCTGGCATTGTTGCTCAGTGCTACCAAACGACTGCATTTAATCAGCGTCTTCGGCAAACAGGACTATTTCATCTGCGTATTCTAAGTCGATAAGTGGATCTCCTGGTAGGAGATCAATGCCCGAAAATTCAGTCGATGAGAATGTTATTCCAATCGGTAGATCCATGATGAAGTTAAAGAAAAAATAGAGAAAGTGGACAGGTAAGGCAAGAGGGTCCAATAAGGACTATGAGTTGACTCTAGGCTACTCGTACTATTTAACGCGTTGTTGGTTTGGCACAATACCAAGGTCATATACGTCGGTGGTCTAATTGGCGATCTTACCATGTGATATTTGAAAGGACATAACATAACAGTACATATTCCTTTATTTTTCTATTTTAGGTTCCAGATAAAAATAAACGAGAACGATCTGGTGCACATCAACGTGAACTTTTTTTATTCAATGATCTACTTCTTATTACTAAAAGTGTTCAAAAACGCAGACGTGATGCATCAGTTGCATATCAAGTACGAATGACTATTCAATTATTCGGAGTAAAATTAGTCCCATTTGAAACTGTTCATCATCCTAATGGTTTAGAGCTACTGGCACCACTTGAACAAATTCAGAATGTAGACTGTCATAGAGAGGTTGGTATGAATCATATCGTTGAAACACCCAATGGTCGAGCGCGTATCTTAATCACTTTAAATACAAAAACAAGTTCAGATCGTGCTAGATTACTAGAAGATTTGCAAGAATGTATATTAGAAGTCACAGAGATGGAGCGTTTAAAACGAGAAGAAATTTCAAAACAAAAGTATAATCAAGTTCATCATCATTGTTTAAGTCATAAATCAGGAAATCATCCTAAATCACTTGACAATTCAGGTGTCTCTTTTAACATAAATAATAGTCATACTTATTCTGATCATGATAATACTTTATCATCACATATTTGTGCACCTATAGCTTGTTTGTTGAATGCTACAGAAACAAGAGTTACAGAACAAACAAATCATATGCCTGAATTCTGTCAGCATTATAAATTACCAGATGGGCAAAGACTAAGTGGTGACAGTGGACTAATGGCTGATTTGGATGCAGTATCTTCTTAATTCAATCCAATCTATAAATAATACAATTATTCCAATTATAATTTCATTTTCATCCTTTTTTAATTTAGAAAATACGAATGTTTCGAAAAATTGCTTTTATTCATTTCGTGTTTATTTTATACGGGAGTTTCTATAATGTGTGTGTGTTGCACTAGTCAACATATTTTCACTGTGATATTATTTTACGTTAATAGACTAGTTATTTGGCAAGAGAAAAAATTTGTCATATTAACAAGTTCTTGCAAAAATTTTCATCTGTTAACTTTGTACAAACATTTAATTATGTTCATTTCGATATTGTATATATTCAATAAAGATTTTTCTTTTAATTTCAAGTGTTATGTATAATACTGTTTATTTGAAGAGTAAAGTAAAAACAAGCAAGTCTGGGCATGATTAGAAAGACAAAAGGGGACTTGAACTTTTCTTGATTTATTTATCTATTTTAATACATAGAAATTGATTCAAGGAGGCACCAAATACATATGCGCCACACAAATCTCATTTGATATGTGTGGGGGCTGTGATACTGCCCGGGTGCCCAAACCGAAGCAGGTGGTTTTCTTAGAGGGTCACACACGGAGCCTTCGACCTGAAGGTCTGATCCACAAGACAGTGGAGCAACGTCAAGAGATGCAGTTCCATGGAAGCCGGTGACCAACGATTGGTTCATACGCCATTTGTTCCTTCAGGATACTGGATCCCATGTGCACCATTGGTTTGGAATCAGAGTTTTTCAACTCCCCTAGGTGGACTCACCGTGTCCACCAACCCGGTTAAAGCGCCGGACCTTTGCTTTTCGTGAACAACACCCCCGTTACGAGAAGGCAGTGAGTAGGACTTCCCTGGCAGAGGCTATATACGCGTGGTCATGTGAGAGCATTTGGAGACGGAGAGCGGACTCTCCCCACTGTCTGCCGTACCAGGTCATTTCTTGATTACATACGCTACTTGGTTTAGCTTAGTTAATGTAATAGGATGCCTATTCATTAAGTTAGTATTTTCATCACTAATTTACCAGTGATTTTATTTTAGTCGAAACAAGATATAATTACATTCAGTATTTCAAGAAAAGTAAGTTACTAAGAGGTGTGTTGAGTATACATAAATAACACTATGATTTTAGTCAATTATGATGTGGACCAAGCTGTAGCTCAACTTCCTAAGAAATTTTATAGTATCAGTTAGTCATCAACGCAGGACCAGGCGCACATGCATATGTCCGAGTTACCACATCCCATTGACATAACAAGATGAACACCAAGTTCATAGGAGCAATTAATTCAATGGTAGTAATATATATAGACATTGCATGTAAGGATACGATACAGCGGATCAATCTCACCACTTAATGTTTTATCTGAAGGCAAAATCTCACGACGTCAAAGGATCTAAAGTTACCGATACTGTTCACATTTTTGCACTGACTGTTTTACTGTCTTAGTATACCTGGATATGAACAAGTTTCATTTCTATATATTAGATAGATGGGAAGAATAACTCAACTGACCTTCAGTCCTGCTGCGTTGTATCGAAGTGGTTGCTTCATGGAGGAGTCCGTGATAGGCGGTTGACAGCAACTAGTTTAAGACGAATACCAGATCACCTTGTCTCACAGATTTCAAACGATACGGTTACATAAATTCTACCTAAGTTTTGAACATCCCAGCTATTTCAATTCACTTTTGATTTGTCCCCCTACTATTTTCTGTTAGTTTTAATGATTTTAGTCATGTTATTCTTATTATCCATTAATTACGTGCCATGATAAGTTGTAGTATATTGAAATGAGTATTGATTACTAAGTTAGATATATATGTCTACGCATCTTGATATTGATCATTTACTCCCTTCTTACTTTTTTAATTTACTTTAAAAATTTCCTACGTTTTATTGTTCCAATGAAGCAGAATTAAGATTCTGTACCCATAAAAAAGTACGGATGTAATTAAGATCTCACACAATCTAAGTGATAAAGCTGGACCACAATCTTAAAAGATTTCTGGGACTAATCCGTCTGGACCTGCAGTTGTCCATCACTTTAAATTCCCTACAACTTTTTCAAATTCACCAACAATTGGAGGACGTACGCCAGTCTGCTTGAAGATGGTGGGAAATTAAAGTGGCCGAAGGTCTGTTGAACTGTTCTGCACATTAGTCTACTCTCCAGAATTGAGAGTGAACAATAGTCCTGTCTTTTTCCTAGATACTTTCACTAATAAGCGGATTTCTAATATTCGTTTCCCTGATAAGTTCGAACAGTCGTCTATTTTTACCTATCGCTGTTGTCTCTTCCATCTCTTCTGGTTTCCCTACCCACTGCTTCTCACGATCACGTAGGCTTATTATCAGCCTACGTTTAAGCTGTCTCCGCTCCTCACCGTGTTCGGAACCAGACGGGATGAGTTTCTGAGCATCTATCAGTTCTGCAGATGCCACTGAAATTCCTAACCTTTTGGTTTGTTACTAGTGCACATCACTGCTGTTTCCACAGGTTTTTAGATATCATACCAAGCTATCTCGAGGTGGATATCGTTTTCACAGTTGATTAGCTTTCTCCAGTTGGTTGTGAAATATATTCTCAACTTTTTCATCATTAGGCTGAACTCTAAGGGCTTCTCTTGCTGTGGCATTCCTACATCCAGTAAGATACAAAGACGTTCTCGAACCATAGCATGGTATGAGTTTAAACATGTCCTCTGGAATGAGCGACAGTCTTCTATCGAGCCACCCTGACGATGGCTGATGGCAATGTGATCAAGTTGAGTCGGTTGTGGGGTCACCACATAAGATGTCCTTTCTTATATTTACAGTTAGTGTTTACTAGAAATAGATGGTCATTAGAACATAGCTGCAGCAGACGGTTGTCGAACCTTAACACCGTAAGATTCGCCTAAGAGCCTTCCGGTTTGATTTAGTCTACCTACATGAGCACCAAAATCACCCGCCACTATTATTAAATCAGAGCGTTTAGCTTTTGGGAGGTTGGATAGCTTCCTATAAAATCTATCTTTGACTTCATCTAAGCTGCAATCAGTGGAAGCGTATGTAGAGGCGACGACGTATGTCTTGATCCCAGCGAGTTATTATATGTATATTTTATCCGGACAGTTCACAAGCAACTGTCTAATTAAACAGTTGAGCAAAGCCTGTTCTGCTTTTACACTTGATGCTATACTTACACAAATGAGGCCACGGGAGGTAGAAGTGAGGTCTCCAGATACTCGAAAGGTAAATCGTGCCAGTTCATCATAGTGACAAGGTCAAGTCAAATGAATGATTGTACCTGGATCCTGTATGTGCATTTCAAAGATGCAGCATACATCGATGGCGCGGAATTCTAGAGTCCTAGCTGAAGAAGCCTGACACGAGGTTTCAGCAATGGGAGTTTCAACATGTAGTTTAGAGAGCGGTTTCATGAGATCAGAAATAACATTTTGTGAACTCAAAACATTAGCATTGGTGGCATGTGAAGATAAAGATAAATGAGAAGGGTTAGTTGTAGGGATGGAAGAATAATTAAGAGGTGAGGGATTTGATTGTGAACAAAATGTTCTCGTGTTCTGTTAAAAGTATGAAGGTGGTTGTCACTTCCCAACTGCTACCCATCATGGATGGATATTCCTCCTTGGGGGACCTGAAAAAGAAACTAAATTAGTAATAGCACCAGGAATCCAGGAGCGTGACTCCAGAGCCTAAGGAACAACTGCTCGAGGCCGGTCGCGCAAGACCACTTACTGGGGAGTTTTTGATGAGTTAGCTCCGCAACTCAAAGCCTTCCCGCCGGTGAGATATGCTGAGGTGTGACATTATTGGGATCAACCTTACCTAACCCCTTCCGTTCTGAGAAGGCAACATCGCCGTAGACGTTGGTCGCCCGAGGCAAACACCCTACTACTGCCACTCCCCTCCACAGCCAGCGGCATGACTTCGCCGTCGGACCTTAAGTTGCTGTTTTTAGTCTTATCATTTCACAATCTATTTGCTTACGACGGTGGAACCTAAAGGAACATGTGTCCCAGCCAATATAGTTCAGTTGATTCATGATGATAGGCAAGCCCGATCACTACGTCAGAGTAGCAGCTACGATCAGGTTGTTATATGAAGACAGTAAAAGTTTATTTGTATACGTGAAATGTAATGCATCGAATTAGTGGAACAATTCAATCTTAAGAGCGCATCATAAACAGATAAACACCCAGAAATCAATGGAGCTACCAGAGATAACCTTCATTAGTGTAGCCTATTAAAGTGTTGAGGTAAAAAGACTTATTTAGTAACAAAATTCTTTTATCAAGAATACTTTTAGATTGTAAACTGTAGAGATTTGCATTACAGAACATCAAACAGTTTCTTTATAAAAAATTATTCTCAATAGTTTGGTAGCATAAGGAAGCAAAAAATCCAAAAATATTATCCATATGATAGTTAAGTTTAAAGCATTATTATGCTGGATTGTGATATATGTTTATATAAACATGGGGTGGTATAGATGTTAGAACTGAAAATCGACGTGCACGCACAAGTGAATTAAGGTTTTACTTTCTTTTGAGACGTTCTAAACGAGCTTCCAAATTATTTTCATCAATAGGATCAACCGAATCAGAATTAGGCCCAGGTCCCGCTACTGGAGTAGGATCAGTAGCGACTGCATGAGGTCGGACTGCACTTGAAACTGTACTTCCAATAGTATCCTTAGCTGTTGGGAGATTACTCAATTGTGCATTAAGATCGATGCCAAGTTCTTCTAAAACCTAGGGTTTTCAAACATAAGTTTATTCAAAAACTAGAAGAATAATATTGCGAACTAGACCCTAATGGTCTTCGTTATATGAAGTCCAGGGAACATGATGAAAATGCTTGTGACAAATTTATAGTCTAAGAGAAATAGGAGACCTTTTAATGTGTCAAAATTCAAGATATTGTGAAATATAAATCCTAAACTAGGTTGGAACAAGTACTCTTGAAACTTAAAAGAACTTATTTATCGAACTACATAAACTGAGATGTTAGCAGCTGATTTTACATTTCAGAGTGCTAAATGTTGACAGTACTTTAAACTATATGAATACTTTCGTAACAAATCATATATAATCGAGAAAATAACGGAACATATAACCAGTGGAAGTCACCACCATGATCTCGAGTTTCGGCTATACTTAGGAATAAAGCTCATCTTTTATCACTAATAATCTTGATGTACATATATTGATCACTCATCATTACTGGCGAGATAAGAGTTAGTTGATTTTCAAGTTTTCTTCTACACACCTCACGAAAATTGGGAAATTATAAGGTTTTATCAAACGAGCAATACCTGAGGTCAGATGCTGCACAGTATCATATTTTGTTATCTTGGTAAAATTATTTACGAACTGTTTAGCACTTGCTGGAATTCGACCTTTCAGAAATGTCGACTCGAATCGGAGTGTGTGAATAGTTTACGAATAAAAACCGACACTAACCTTATTCACAACAGTTTCGGAGTCTTCAATGTCATCCTGATCTCCAATAGCATCATCTATTACATCTGACATCATATCTTGTTTCATTTCCATCGTTTCGGTTTGTTTTTCGAACTCCATCATAATCTTTTGGAATTGAGGTAATTGCATAGTTGAATTCATTTTTCTCATCGTTAGCGCAACCTGTTTCATAGCTGAAGCCATCGTGGCGGTTGACTTTAAAGTCTGAATTTTCATTGATAACGCCTATTATTAGAAAATACTCGACTGATAAAACGTGACAAACTGTAATATTTGAGTGCATCAAGGAAAATTTTTTGATGTAACTCTCTGTTCGAACTAACTGTTTCGCCATTACCTTGACGGCATCAATCTGACCACGCTTTGCCAACGCACGAATTTCATTTGTTATTCGAACGCGTTCCCTCTCCAACTGAGTTTTTTCTCTATCTATCTCTCTAAGTGTTCTTGCAATAGTTCGTTTGCTATCTCTTAGCTGCTCTTCAGGTGTTTTTCTGGTTCCAAAAAGAAAACTCATCGAAGGACTTCACGGAAGTAGCCCCAACAGTAACGTTCCAATTTATAATAACCTCTTAAAATTACCAGCTTATGATTTTAGGCGTTAGTGGAATAAATCAGGTGGTCCATGTTAGTTCATAATGTAATTAGTTCTGTGAAAATCTAGGTACTCGTTGAAAGCACTCACTTATTAGCTTAATGCCATCACTTCACCTAACTGTTCAAGATGTTCCAGACGTCAACTAATCAATGAAATAAATCTGGGTTATAGGAGAGGGATTTCGATAATGTAAAAGTGGAGTTCTTGCTAAGTCTTTCAACCCATGACACGTAAAATAATAGCGGTGTTTTTCCTCTCTCAGTTCAACTCTTTATGATTTCAATTGATGTTTGCAAATCAAGACTGTCTTCGCTCGAATTTAGTTAATTTCAGTTAAAATATTACCAAGGGTGTCCTTATTTTTCGGGAAAGGATTTTCTGCATCAGAACTGTTGGTGAGTACGAAAGTTTTTCTTTTTATAACACGTTTTGGCTCCAATCGTTTAGTTGTTTACTTCTAGACCTACCACTTTAGTTTGTATTGGTAAATAAATCCCTAATTGGTTTTACTGGACACAGTCTAGCTGCAGGTGCTTGGTCACGCATCGGCACCAGATCACGAGTGAGTAGGCCATGCCACGCGTCCCTAGCAATTACTGACCAGCTTAGACCAAACGCCTAGACACGTCGATATCTTTCCAAACATATCTCCGAACCTCTTCGTTTCTGACTCCTTGGCTGACTGGGATAGTATACTCTGAATGCCCGTGACACCTTTGGCAGTGAGCCCGAAGTGATCTGGTACACCAAACCGTAAACTGTGAATTTGTTCCCAATTAGAACATTACATATAGTTTTTTTAATTTCTATCCTCACATATAGTGATGGCAGTTTGACACTTTCGGATATTTTTTCTCGCCCATCTGTATGTCTTATATTTGTCATGACGGAACGGATACCTATACTATCTGAGGTGAAAACGTTTACGCCGCCCTCATTTCAGCTTATGCTATTTTAGCCCGACCGCATTGGAGCTTGGTTCCATTGCACAGAAGCTGCCTTCCACGAGCACGGCGTGGCAAGTTCACGTGCACGGTTCCTCGCAGTAGTGAGGGTACTGCCGCAGTTGCAAAAGGTACGTCGCTTTTAGTATGTTTATTAGAGATGCCTTGGAATATTCTGAAACTTCAAAGAAGGTCATTTTTAAGCGTGAAGATCGAACCGACCGATAGCGATTAGACTAACTCTCTGACAGCAACGATCTGCAACACTGCTCGGCAATAGACATGTTACTACAAACGCAAGGGGTCATTGGTAAACGGATCTTTGACGAGGGTCCATTTGGACAGCTCTTCCTGTCTAAACTTCAACCAGTGCAGGTAGTGTTTGTCTCACTTCAAAACAACTTTGTAGACGAACTGGCTGCATATGCGAACCGGAACATGGCGATCATCAGAGCCTGAAATCCCGAGATTTATTCCGTCAAAGAAATCCCCAAACAACACAAAATGACATTTCAGATGCCTGTTATGTTCCGATTCGCTATCATAATATTCATTATAATCGTAGATGCTCCCAAACTCCCGGAAGAAGCACGTCACGAAAAAATCTGTCTCATGACTTCAAGACATAGATAATCCTGTCTGGTGATGGTACCGTGATAAATATGATAAGTCTTCTAGGAATTGCAGAAAACCGTTCTGAAAACTCCACTGGAACGCGCTAACGGCAACCGTAGTCGATGGATATAGCCGTGGTGACGAAAGTTCACCACCTCAAAGACATGGGTGCATCATCACCCCTTTCTGACTCCACGAGTTTTCGCACACGTCTTTGGGCTTAAGAAACATCCCAGCGATTCGTCGATTACGTTTATCGAGACTTCAACTTCGCACATGCATGTGTGAATGACTACTTGATCGCAAGTTTGGATAGAGAATCACATATCCATCATCGGGTCCTTATTTTCAAACAACTGCAAAATTACGACATTTAGAAATGTCAGCTTGGAATCGACTCCCTAGGCTTTCTCGGACGCACTATTGATGCTCAAGGTTCACGCCCTCTGAAAGCAAAGTAGCGGCTATTCATGATTACCCAGAACCGATCACAGTGAAGCAAGTATATACGTTCAACAGCCTGGTAATTCTTTATCGACTATTCATACCGAATACTGCGTCTGTTATATGACTCTTAACCTAGCGACTTCATGGAAATGCGAAATCCATCAATTTGAACGACATCGCGAAAAAATCATTCCTCGCGGAAAAGGAAATCATAGAGAAATCAACTATGCTCGCACGTCAGGACATCAAAGCACTAATTGGTGTTGCAGTAGAGTCATCCGACTTGACGATAGGAGGGATCTTACTTCGGTGAGTAAATAACTCCTGACAACCTCTAGCATTCTCCTTGAAACGAATGCAAGACGCCGACCTTAAACTCGTCTAGCTTCAAAAAGAAGGCACTGATCTTCCGCACGAGTTATCTTTAACGACCATAAAACTGCGTATTAAACAGATGGAAGCAGGTGAGGAAACCTCATTATGCGACACGTCTACGGGTAGGAGCCGTCCAATCGTGACGGAAAGCTATGGACACAATGTCTTCAATACGTTCTACGAGCTTTCTCTTCCAGGTGTTCATGCAACCATCAAGCTTACAGTAGGACGATTTTGCTGACCTGGTAAGCTGCCAGAAATCTAAGGTGATTGGAAACAACAAATGTCCCTTAGGCTGTCTCACAACTTCCAATACTCGTTTTGACCATTTCCATCTTGATTTGATAGGGCCCGTACCGCATTCAAATTGACATGTTACCCCTTGACGTGTACAGACCGTTTCGCGTGATGGTCAGGAGCGGTGCCTATCAAGGTCATTTCTGCTGAAATAGTAGTTGTGCCTTCGTTAAACGATTGGAAGCAAGCTTAAAGTGCCCTTTAACTATCATTGCAGACCGTGGACGCCCGTTCGAATCCGGACATTTTCGATGTCTGTATATACTACTAAGGATCACACGATCCTGAACGACCGCCTACCACCTACAAGCTAATGGGTTGGTGGGACTGTTTTGCCGAGCGATCTTCTGGAGTTACTGCCGGTCCCAGGCCCGGGTAAAGGAGGAGGGTTAAGGGAAACTAACTCGCTAAAAAGACGCTAACCAGAAAACCTAATTCAAACCAACACAACTCATTTACGGAACGATACTCTGACTCCCAGGAAAATTTGGGGACCGTTCATCTTCAATGAATATAGATCTAAGTTCTTGCACCAGGAGGCTCAGAAACGCCATGCGTTGAGTTACACCTGTTCCCGATCGACGGCAGTCAACTGATGTTTTCGTTCAACATGCTTTACAACACAGTACACACGGTTTCGTATGTAGCGACTCACTACGACGACCTCCCAAAATGGTATACGAAGGACTCTTCAAATTTCTTCACCACAAACCTGAATACCACATCATTTACAAAAACGGAACTAACGACAACGTTAGTATTGACCATCCTAAAGCAGCGCATTTAGAAGGAAATCCCAGTGGTGTTGAGTTCCCTGCTTTACGCTTGAAAGACACAAGCCTCACTATTACTATGCCTTTCCTGACAATCGACAATTAAGAAGAAACTTCAGTGGTGTCTAACAAACGGCTCAAAACAACACGTTCTGGGGGAAGGATAAGGTTTTCGGAGCACTTAAACGATTACTGCGCGTAGCACACAACATAACATTTCGTTTCATCTCTATATTTTGTATTACTGTGTCAAAATAAACTAAAAACAAAAATTCTCTTCGAATATGCTCATATATGTGTATATATTTACTTTCTTCTTTCTTCCAAAAAATACCAAAATAAAACATTGCACAAAAATCCTTTCTACGCTATTGCATGTTAATAAAACGCATATATACAAGTTTATTTACCTTTTTCGCCCATTATGTGGCCTTATGCATGTACGAATGTTTTTCGACATTCATTTACAGTTCCCTTTTTTCCAGGGCGGCTGGAAAAGATGGTAAGTTTGACGAAGAATCGCGATGAACCAAAAAGTTTGTCGCACTGTTTTTGATTGCTATCATGTACCACATGGCCTCTTATGTCAGGGAGGACCAACCAGATTCTGTTGAACATAACAAGCTATCAGAAGTGTTTATCAACGACATGCTCGTTTGGTCTAAACTTCGGGTTCGACATGTATTCTGGTCATCACTACCCCACTAGGGAGGGAGTGAGCTGTAGCGGTAAATAAATTCCCATAATAAATAGCTCTGTAGGTATTTGACATTTTATCAAGTTGTCTGCCAACATTTGTAAGCTAGTATGATGGTGTAAGAAGATAGTTACCAACATGGAATTTATAGATGCCCGGTGGATAGAAGATCAAACAATTCAGTGGTAAAGTCCCTGACGCTAAGGTTAAGTGACGCGAGATCATATCCTCCAGGGAGCATCAGTTCATACTTTGCAGTTGTATTTGTTACTTTTTCCACCCAATTTCTTCGCTTAAAGTAGACAGGTAACTAACTGGACCTATCGATACTGTTCAACTAAACTCGGTTGCTAATGGACACTCACTACCACCCTAAAAAGTCAAGAGAACCACACAATCGACTGCCTACTACCAGTGGTTTCACATCTATGGAGCTTGTTACCCATCAGCTGGTTGGGACAACACAAAATAAAACCAGCACCAAGTTAGTGTGAGTGTCTTCCTGTTTATTCTTTATTAACTTTTTACTCTTCTGTACACTATGTTGACTAGCAATTAATACTATTTCTCCACTCGTTACCTTATTTACAATTCATATACTTCTATACTTTTCCGCCTGTTTTAACAAACAACTATCCTACATTAAACCCTTCTTTATGCTTATACTCTAACTGGGAAACTATACTTTGTATTATAGTTCATTAAAGCACTGCATCGACGTCTTACCCACAGTCCATAACTTGTAACTGTCTGATAAACTTGTAAAATGGT